GGATATTCACAAATATCAAAAGGATACAAAGATTATATTAAACGGAAAAGAATATCGTCGTATGTATTCTGACGTCTCTGATAATACAAGATTATACTAAGGGATGTGTTATAGAAATTATCCATATATTCTGTGACTCTAAGTGGAGCCAATTTTTCATAAAAATTGAACAAATAATGGTATAGTAGCGATACATTATTACGACAGGACCTTATCAGATACAATCGTGCAATAAACTAACAGTTTACTCCAAAAATAATATAAAAGTTCGGGGAAAAATAATAATAATAAATTAGATGTAGATCTATTATCTAAAATGTCTATTGTTGACAAAATCATTCAGATGAATGATACAAATAAAATATCGTTTTTGTAATATTGACGAAATTGTTACATTATAAATACTTTCTAAATATAGACCTTTTCCACTTTTTCTGCCGTGTAGACCATTTTTAACGAGATCTGCTAATAAATCTGGCATTGCCTTATCGCATAAACGTTCACCATAGACTTTATACATATCACGAGCTATGTGAGCAGCTACATCAATACCAACTTCATCGAACAACGTTGCTGAACCAACTGGAAAACCCCATTTTTTTGTTGCTTTATCAATGTCTTTTGGACTAACACCTTCTTGAAATAAATGGAATACTTCGGCACGAGCAAACATTAATAATCGTGTGGTATAAAAGCCCGGACCATCACGTACAACAATGACAACTTTTCCCTGTTTTAAACCAACGCTTACAGCTGCTGAAATTGTGTCTTTTGATGTTTTATCCGCACGAACAATTTCTAATAGTTCCATTTTCTCAACGGGTGAAAAATAATGCATACCTATTACCTAAAACAAAGGTGAAAGAGCATTAAATCAACAAAGACAAGGCATCATCTTGTTTACGATGATATATTTCTTATACCATATGTAGACAAACATAAAGGACTATTAATTTTTGAAAAAGAATCAATCAAACAATACAATTAATCATACAAATCGTTTCCTCAAAACTAGACTATGAAACAGAATACATGAAAATTCATTCCTCACACCAACGATCTAATCATCATAATACTGATTACATTTAGAAAAAAATTAATAAAAATTTAAGCATCTAATAAAGTTTCTATTATAAACCAGGATGTAAATAAATGCTACTCATATTAGAATGAATGATTCAAAATACACATACTTTTTCCGGTCGTTTACTATTTTGTGCAATTTTGTTAATTGGTAATGCTGATGTATT